AATACTTCAAAAACAGATGTTTTCAATTATGCACATTAAGTTTAAGTTCTAGGCAATGAGATTAGCTATTAGTAAATCAAGTTTTGGGAGGTATCTGATGCAGTACCAACTTTGATTAAATCCCTCTCAGATATGCATATTCAGAGCTGTAGTTGTAGCGATGATCCAAGTCCTTTAGCCCTCTCTAATGAATGGGCAGATTTTTATGTTCACCTCTGTTCTCAACATAAGTGACCCACTTTTGACAGTTACTCTCTTGTTGGATAGCTTTTACAAATCATCCAAATAAATAGGGCAGTCTTTTCTTCAACTATTTTTGGGGTGGTGGTTTCTGATTTCAATGTTATTTTAGAAGGTGGTAAAGAAAGAAAATTATTTATCTTAGTCTGAGAGAATCAGTTTAAGACAAGTATTTTTCTTTCTTTACAACCTTCTATAAGAAACCTGTCTAATCTTCAGAGAGATTTCTTGAATACCACAATAATATGTGCCATTTAGAAATCTAAATGGGAGAGAAAATTAGTAATTGGTGGCAAGAACAATGAATCCAACAGAATAATATGACCTGATTATTTGTTTTCTTATTTGGCTGCGATCCTTCTTGTTCTCCTGGAAGCGAAGATGGTACACATGGCATTCCTTCTTTGATTTCTCTTTGGCGTTGGTTGGACTGAGTGACAGTGATAGCGTGAAGTGTGTGGTTATATGGTGAGCATCTGGACGATTCTGAAATGTGGTATTTGAGCGTAAATACAAAACAAGAAGAGGAAAGCTAAAGAAAAATGACTCAGGTGGCATATAGTTGATTGGATGGTCTTGGAATAGGCTGATCATGTACAAAAGAAATGGACAAGAATCACATGCATCAGAACATTGCCCTGTATGGGAATTGCTTCTTTTCAGGGAATTAGTCCATCATACCCTTTTCTTAATATTCTATGCCATGGATTTTGATGATATTCATTGCAGTTTTGAGATTCCTCTGATTTTTTTCTCCTAGCTTATAATTGGCAATCCTTAGCAAATGAATTGCTCATCGAATCTTCATTGGGCTGTCCTTTGGGGAAAAGGGCTAGTGGGTAGGAATCATCCTATGATAATTTTCCTTAGCACTTTGTTTTGTACTTTTTCAAGCCTTTGGGGTCTCCTGAATCCCTTGATCTTTTCCCCTTGCTTAGACGTGATGACATAGGCAGTAAGATCTGTGGCTGAACATTGGAAATGGATGGAAATGACTGAGCTCACTGAATTATAATAAGTAAGATCATCTCTGAAAGCCATTTCCAAATCATAGCAGAATTTATATATGCTGGTGTACATTTCAATACTTCCTTTTCAATGCATTTAGGACAAACTCTTATCAATCTTGCTTCTATATACATCACTTTTTTTTTAGAAGTGGTTGGGGAATTCTGAGAGTTGACGCCCACACATCTCAGAGTTGCCTAGTTTGAAAAACACTGATACACATCCTTCAACCTTCTCCTTCAATCATGCATAAACTAAACATAAAGAAATATTATTTTTGTCTTAATGCACCAATAGATTATTTTGCTTGGTTGCTTCTCTGGCTTAAAAAAGAATATACTATAAAAGAAAGAACAAAATGCAGAAGTAGACGTGGAATACAAATGGTTATAAGACACTGAAGCGGTTTCAGTTGAATAGTCAAATGCAGACTGGGAAATAGAACCTTCTTTGTGATTTTAATTTTAATATCATTTTGCTTCACTCCTAACATATTTGATTCTATTCTTTGAAACACAAGATAAAGGAATGTGAAAAAGGCTGATCTGCATTTTCTAGAAAGCAGTGTATATATATATATATATATATATATATATATATATATATATATATATATATATATATATGTCTTTGGTTGTTCGGGTTTTCTCCCGCGTAAAATTGGAAGTGTCTTGGCGACGTTTCGACGAAGTCCCATTCGTCATCTTCAGGCTGGTGTTTTCAGCTTCGTGCTTTGAGCAGCAATGTGTGGTCTTAGCTGTTTCTTCCTTTTAACTGCCAGTGGGGGTATGAACTGATTGGGTGGGAGCTTGGCTGTGTTCTGATTGGGTGGAGGTGTGTTCTGAATGGTTAGGGGCTTGGCTGTGCTCTGATTGGCTGGGGGAGTGTTCTGTTTGGTTGTGCTCAGGTTAGTCTGAGTTGCAGAGGGGTTTGAGATTTTGGGCTGCCTTCTTATTTTTTGGCTTCGCGAACTACACACTCTCACCAATGTACTAACATCCAATGGATTCCATAGAAATAAGATTACAAACCTAATCCAAAAAGAAACCCCCACTAAAATCCAAGACAAAGAACAAGAAAACGGCAAAGCCCTCCTCCCATACATAAAAGGCACCACAGACAGAATCAGTAAGATCCTCCATAAACACAACATCAAAACAGCATTCTGCACAAACAGAAAAATATCCACCATCCTTAGAAACCCCAAAGATAAAATTGAATTAGAAAATCAAGGAGTATACGAAATCCCATGCACCACTTGTCCCACCACATACATCGGACAAACCAACAGAAGAATAAGTGCACGCATTGAAGAACATAAGAACTCAGTCAAAAAAGAGGAACCAACATCTTCCCTGGTCCAACACCTTAAAGCCACAGGACATGAAATTGACTTTAAAAATACCAGAACCATTGCCAAAAGTGAACATTTTAATAACAGAATAATCAGAGAAGCCATCGAGATAGACAACTGTATGCATCTCATTATCTATATAGTTTCATTTCATTTCATAAACAGTAAGAACATTGTGAATAATTGGTTGTGAATGCACAAACATGAATAGTTCCTACATTAGTTAGAGAGCTTGGAATTGCCATTCTCTGTTCTTTAGAGGTAAGGTTCATTTCCGTTGCTACTATAGTGACAATAGTAACCAGTAAATCACTACTGAAGGTTTTTCAAGCTGGAATTCCTTTAACTGGTCGCATCTTCCTTAAAGCCTCTTTCCCCATTATTGTTTTTAGTTTAATATGGTGGCAGCAATAGCACTAATGAATAGTTTCTTAATTGCACCTTAAATACTGAAGCAATGTAAAAGTTGCGACAAAATGGTTCCATTGCACAAGAACCATTTCCCAAGACTAATCATTTAAATAACCAATAAGCCATGGCATTTTTATGCAGAGAGTTAATAGAGGCAGCACTTTCTGAACTGAATTCAAAGATCTATTAAAAACACCACATATTTAGTAGATGCGTAGCATGCTGTTATGTGTGCTTCCTTGAAAGCAAGTCCCACTGGCAATTATATTCCATTTACCAATGATTCAGAGCATGATGAGAGAGTAGATAAATGGCCAAAGGCAAAATAGAAATAGGATTGGCTTTCTTTCCCTTTTTCTGTTTCTGAACTCTCCTTTTATTTTTACACTTTTCTTTTGTTTATTGCAATAGGAGAGATTTATGCATGTAAGCTCTAGGCTAGCATATTTTTCTTCCTTAATTGGTTATGCACGTGGCAAGGGGAATGGGAAGGATATGGAACATGTTGCTAGAGAACTTACAGCAGTTTGCTTGGGCCACAAGCATAGAACACTACTTTGCTGCTACTAAATCTCCAGTTGCAAGGAAACAAGGACTAAGGAAGCAGCGGTTTCTATAATAGCCAAGATTGCATTTGTAGGTCAAATCTGTTTTTGTGAGGTCAAAATCCATTCTGCTGTTATCTTTTGCATCTAACTACAAACAGATTACAGTCATTATTGTGTTGAATATTACCAGGATGAAGGGAGACAAACGTTTAGACAGGGTAGCGCTATGTTCAAGCCACTGGAAAAACAACAGAAATATTACATAAAACTAAAAATGATAATTGTTATGTATTGAGGTTTATTACTTGGAAACTGTTGGAAACAGTCAAACTGCTGCACCTGCTTGAGCTCCAGACAGACTGTCTACAGGTTAATTAGCTTATCTTTAAATGGGAAATATTGCTTCAATACTATTGGCTCCCGCCTAGTGGTGAACTGTATAAATACTGGTTAAACAGCAGTTAGTCCTGCTTCTGTTGTTAACTGAATAAAGAGTTGCTGTTAGCACCATTCACCTCTTCAATGCCTCACCGAACTGAAAACATAACAGTGGCAATGAAGGTGGGATGTGCTGCAAAGAACAAAAGAGCCGGAAGTCATTAGGGGTAAGACCAGGCCTCAGCACTCTGGTTGGAACTATGCTCCCCCCCCCTCTGCCTGCCAGCAAGCAACACTGGAGGCCAACACCCTGAGGGACCTGTCCCCAGGACCAACAACAGAAGCCTTTGCAACACAAGGCATCAAACGGTCGGAAACAACTCACCATGGCCAAGCTCGGAAAACTGTCGGAGTTCAATGTGTCGCATCACTAGAGGTGGAGCTCTTACATTTCATGAGTTGAGAACTATCTGAAAGCTAACCAAGTTAGCGAAGATGGCTTAAAGGCCACAATGCTGCTTTGTGTTTGCAGCTAGGCAGCGTTCGATATTGCTGAAAACCTGGTCGCACCAGCCACTTTTGAATCGGTCACGTAGGCTGAGCTCAAGAAGATGCTCAAAGAACATTTTGAGTCGAAGCTCTCAGTCATGGCCTGGAGACACGCCTTTGAACAGAGGGAGCAACAGCCAGGCGAGAGGGCCGCTAAGTTCATAGCTGCCCTACGACAGGCGTCCCGGCTCTGCGATTTCCAAGACTTCGAAGAGAGACTGAGATACCATTTAGTTTGCGGGTTGAGGAACAGGGATCTTCAGCAGAAGTTGTTCGTGAAAGAGTCCTTGTCATTCCAAGATGCTCTAAAGGAGATTATGGCCAAAGAAGCCACAGGGGGAGCCGTAAAAGCCTTACGGCCCTCCAAAAACACTCCCCACCCAGAAGCTGTCCACCACGAGGACGTGGAAAGAGGCGAGGCCTCCTACATAGACAATGAAATCAATCTGCTATAGAAACAAACAACAAGGGTTTAGCGGCCACTTGATAAGGAAGTTCCCTTTATTCGATGTATGGGCTGTGATGGCCAACACAGACACTCAGAGTGCAGGTTCCACATAGTAGCGTACTGGGCGTGTGGCAAAAAAGGCCACATCACTGTCATCTGTAAAGGTTGCCAGAGGAACAATCCATAAGAAGAATTTCCCAGGAAAGGTACCGGGGCCCCAAGGCAATACAGAGTTGGTTTTTGTGCTAGCAGAAGGAGCGTGTTTAGAACAGGTGCCCATCGTTCCATGAAGGAGAAGCTGAGACTCAAAATCAAGTTTCACAGAGTCTCATGCAACATGGAATTAGACACGGGGTCAACTCTGTCTATAATTTCCCAAGGAACCTTTAACCACATTTACAGTCGCAGTGGCAAATGAGTCAAACTCAAGCCGTCGAATCTCCTGTTAACTGATTTCCAAAACTCCCGCATAGCAGTTAAAGGGGAAGCCACTCTCAAAGTGTAGTTCAAAGAATTTGAGGGTCCCCTGGATGTTGTTGTAGTTGAGGGCCACTGCACAAGCCTCATAGGGCTAGATTGGTTTGATGCATTGGGCATCCATGTGACTGGCATACACAGAACGCAAGCAGCAGACCTGTTGTTAGTTTGCCAAGAGTTTGCTGATGTATTCAGCCATGACTTAAGGAAGTACAAGGGTCCTCCAATTACCCTCCACCTTGATCCTACCATATCCCCAATAAGGATCAAGCCTCATAGAGTGCCTTTTGCCCTCAAACCCAAAATCGATGCAGAGCTGGACAAGCTGTTGCAACAAGGTGTGTTGCAGCTAGTAGACAGCAGTGGGTGGGAAATCCTCATAGTTACACCACTTAAGGACAATGGGGAGGTGCGCATATGCGCGGATTATAAATGCACTATTAATAGAGCGTCCAACAATATTCTTAACTGGTGCCTGTAGTCAGCCATATTCTGGCATCACTACAGGGAGGTCGCATATTCGCCAAATTGGATTTGGCTCAAGCCTACCAGCAACTGCCTGTGGATGATGCCACGGCAGAAGCTCAAACTATAGTTACTTACAGGGGCGCTTTCAAGGTTAAGTGCCTTCAATTTGGGGTCAGTGTTGCCCCAGGGCTTTTCCAGGGCTTGATGGAGTGTACGCTCAAGGTATACAGGCATGTGCCCATATTTCGATGATGTCCTCATAGTTGGGGAATCAGTAGAGAAATTGGGACAATGGTTCAGGGCCGTCCTTCAGCGTTTCTGTGAAGCGGGCCTGAAACTAAAAAGGGAGAAATATAAAATTGGGGTAGCTTTGACAGAATTCCTCGGTTTCCAAATAGATGCCAAAGGCATTCAACCTGCTGAATCCAAGCTCAAAACAATTCAGCAGGCCCTAAGTCCAAAATCAAAGGGAGAGCTTCAAAATTTTTTAGGACTGCTCAATTTTTATCATGCCTTTCTACCACACAAGACTGCAGTGACTGAGCCATTACACTGACTCTTGGATAAACATGCACAGTGGAAGTGGACCAGCATCCACGAGAGGAGTTTTTCAGCAGTCAAATCACTGCTGTCTTCAAACTCACTACTGACACATTTTAATGAAAAGCTGCCTGTCTGCACTGCTTGTGATGCATCCCCATACGGGGTGGGGACTGTGCTGAGTCATTTAATGGCTGACAGAAGACAAATTCCAATAGCCTATTATTCAAGGACTCTGTCCTTGGCATAACGTAACTACGCCCAAATAGATAAAGAGGCACTGGCCATTGTAGCTGGTATTAAGAAATTCCATGACTATTTGTATGGTTGCCCATTTATGATCTTTATGGATCACAAGCCACTTCTGGGTTTGTTCACAATGGACAAACAAACACCTCAGATTCTATCTCCTAGGATGCTGAGATGGTCCATTTTTCTCTTGGCTTATAATTACAGTCTGATTCATAATCTGGGCAGAGAAATGGGCTATGCGCATGGCCTTAGCAAGCTACCCCTGCCACAATTAGAGCCAGACCCCGCCCTGTCTGCTCACATCCTGGCTATCCAGGATTTCCTGAAGTCTCCCCTTAACGCAAGGGACCTGGCTGCTGAAACAGCTTCGGACAAGACACTGAGTTGCATATTGAATTGGGTGCTCACAGGATAGCCAGATGTGAGTACAGGACCTACTTTTCAAGCTTTTATAGGAGGAAGGATGAGCTATTAACTCACAAAGGATGCATTTTGTGGGGAAGTTGGGTCATAGTCCCGTACTCTTTAAGGCCCAGGGTACTAGAGTCTCTGCATGAGGGACATCCGGGAATAGTCTGGATGAAGGCACTCATGAGAAGCTACCTCTGGTGGCCAGGTTTAGATAAAGATATAGAGGTCCAAGTACACAGCTGCTACATTTGCCAGCAATCCCGGCCAGAAATGCTGCAAGCACCCGTCCATCAATGGGAAACCACTCAAGCCCCGTTGTCAAGAATCCACATCAATTTTGCAGGCTCCTTTCAGGGACAGCTGTTCCTTATTGTGGTGGACAGTCACTCTAAGTTGTTAGAGGTCACACCTGTTCCAACTATGATTACTGCCAGGACCATCCAGGAACTGTGCAGGATCTTTGTCACACACAGGTTACCCAACATGATAGTCTTAGACAATGGGGCTCAATTTACCGCTTCAGAATTCCAATCCTCTTTGAGGGCTAATATGATCAGGCACGCCACATCAGCCCCCTTTCACCAGGTCTCAAACGGCCAAGCAGAGCACCTGGTCCAGACGACCAAAGACGACCACTTAAAAAGAATTGTAACCAGCAACTGGCAGCATAGGCTAGCCGATTTTTTACTTTGCCAACACACGACTCCCTGCACTTCCACGGGCAGAAGCCCAGCAGAACTCAGATGGGGCTGTCATTTAATAACTAAGCTGGATTGTCTGCATCCAGACAGAGTTGCATCAGAATCTGCACAGCCAACGCCACCAAGGAGATTGCAAGTTGGTGACCCGATTTGGGCTTGGAACTACGGGCATGGGGCACTTTGGGTGGTAGCTGTGGTTGTTAAGTTGTCAGGGCCACTTTCTTATGAAGTGGTCCTGGAAGACGGTCATGTGCTATGAAGGCACATCAACCAGCTGCGCAGGAGACTAGCAAACCAGCTGCTGGCTCATGACGCTCATGAAAGACAAATCCAGGGGGAGCCTGACTATAGCCATGCATCAGAGTCTTCAAGTGAGGGTGAGACTTCCAAGGACAGCGAGTTGGCCCTGAACACAGAGACTGCACCCACTGAGCAATCCCAGCAGTCAGTTCCAATTTCCAGTCTGGTGGAAACCGTTCCACCTATGGACACTGACTCGGGTATACCAGGACCGACCAGCCACAGAGATTCAGGTCTACCCATTACAAACAGGTCCCAAAGCTCTGGTCTATCCAGCGTGGCAGGTGAGCTAGTAGACTGAGGGCCTACACTGGTGCTGAGGCACTCAGAACGGTCAAGGAGATCCCCAAAATATTTACAGGACTATATTCAATATCTGTCATTATGAACTATCTAGGGGGAAGGGTGTTATGTATTGAGGTTTATTACTTGGAAACTGTTGGAAACAGTCAAACTGTTGTACCTGCTTGAGCTCCAGACTGACTGTCTACATTTTAATTAGCTTGTCTTTAAGCAGGCAATATTGCTTCAGTTCTATTGGCTGCCGCCTAGTGGTGAGCTGTATAAATACTGGTTAAACAGCAGTTAGTGCTGCTTTTGTTGTTAATTGAATAAAGAGTTGCTGTTTGCATCATTCGCCTCTTCAATGCCTCACCAAACTGAAAACATAACAATAATAATGCAATCTGAGTGTGTGCCATATTTAATGTTATTTTAAAAAACCTATTTATGTATCCTTTGTTACAAAACCTACTTATGTATCCTTTGTTTCAATACACTGCATGTATTTCCAGATCATGTGGACGCAGACAATGATATGTTGTATTTCAAAATGAACATCCTCTGAGAATGAAAGAAAAGCAACATGTCAAGCCATTGTACTCAATATACACAAGCAATGACAATACATAAGTGCAAAAGAGCCCAAAAAATAAATCAGAAATATATTACTTTATTTCTCACATTCTCAAATATCCTCGGGCTAGGCTACATCATGATGTCTATTGGATATTCTTATTTTTGATCAGCTTGCTTCTTCTGAAATCCGTATGATTAGTACAGACAGATACAGGTCCGTAGAATCAGAATCAGAATAGAGCTGGAAGACCATGGAGGTCTTCCAGTCCAGTCCCCTGCTCAAGCAGGAGATCCTATACAATTTCAGACAAGTGGCTGTCCAGTCTCTTCTTAAAAACCTCAAGTGATGAAACACCCACAACATCTGAAGGCAAAAATTGTTCCACTGGTTAATTGTCCTTGCTGTTAGGAAGTTTTTTGTTAGTTCCAGGTTGTTCCTTTCCTTGATTGTTCCTTATCTTGCGCTCTGGTGCTTTGGAAAATAAGTTGACCCCCTTCTTCTTTGTGGCAGTCCCTCAGATACTGGAATATTGCTATCATGTTACCCCTGTTTCTTCTTTTCTTTAGACTAGCCAAATCCAATTCCTGCAGCTGTTCTTCATATATTTTAGTCTCCAGGCCTTTAATCATGTCAGTTGCTCTTCTTTGTACTTTTTCCAAAGTCTCAATATCTTTTTGGTAATGTGGTGACCAAACTGGATGCAGTACTCCAAGTGTGCTCTTACTAAGGCCAATTAGAAGACCTCCAAGGTCTCTTCCAGCTCTATTCTATTCTATTCTATTCTATTCTATTCTATTCTACTCTACTCTACTCTACTCTACTCTACTCCATTCCACTCCACTCCACTCCAATATTACATGGATGTACATGTTTCAATTCTTACTTACCTGGATTAAGGCCAGATTTGGTTTGTTTTGAATTGGATTTGAACTGTCTTGGAGATTTTGGAATGGGCTTGAGGGGTGGCTGGAAGACAGACCCAAGGAAAGCCATATTTATTTATGTGTTTTATTGATTTTTAACATAATCACCTTAATATTTGGTAAACAGCATGTTGTCTGGGTTAGTATTTAAAAAACAATCAATAACAATTAATTTCTATAATTCTATAGTCCATACAATGGCTTTGCTTGATTTTCTCTTCTTCCAATACTGTTCTGCTTTGCCAACCTTAATTTAATACAGTTCTTATTATTTGAATAAATGACAATTAAATATAGACATTTTTCTCATGTTTTTGCAAATAATAACCATATCAATTCAAAGCTTCTTTTCTAATTGCCTCATCATAGATCCTGTTTACAGAATTCTTATTTAAATTTGTTTTCCTCACAATATTCAAAGCATTCTTATCGGTTAAGATTTTCTCAAAATTAGGTACACTTAAGTATTTAAGTTTTTTTTTCTTATACAATACTTTTACATTTCTCATATCTTAAAAAAAGAAAAAAAAACAGAGAAAACATTTCTTTTATATAAACCATCCTAACATTTTTATATTTCTCACGTCAAATTACAAAGCACAAAGAAAAAAAGAAAGAAAAATACTATATTACCTGAGGGGTTCACCCCTCTTAAACTAATCTTCATTTATATCCAAAATCTTTCTATTTCTTTAACTATATTCAAACAGATGTTTAATTTTTAAACATTTCCCCTGGTAAATTCCATCATCTATTTTCTTAATTCTCACTTTAGCCTTTTTTTTTTTGCCAAACATTTTTCCTGATTAATATGCCTCGCTGAATCAAAGAATCTTTCCATAATCTTAAAAGTGTTGTTGCAGGTACAAAAGGCAAAACAGGTAAGATGTTTGTCACACACGGGTTATCTGATGTGATAGTCTCAGACAATGGGGCTCAATTTACCGCTTCAGAATTCCAAGGTTTCACCCCTTTGTACTTATTGAGAATCTTTTCCTTACTTTCTTGATTTTATTTATTATTTTTTGTCTCTCAAGTTCCTGTAGTTCTCCTGGCAGAATCCATTTTGTCAAATCTTTTTTCTTGTCTTCAAACTTATTTTGTAATCCTAGGGCAGGGGTAGGCAACCTTGGCTCTTTTATGACTCGTGGACTTCACCTCCCAGAATTCCTGAGCCAGCATGGCTGGCTCAGAAATTCTGGAAGTTGAAGTCCACTAGTCATAAAAAAGCCAAGGTTGCCTACCCCTGTCCTAGGGTATAGATTACCTTTTCCATATCCAGTATTTCCTGTAAGTTTTTTTCCTATCTGAGTTAATTCATACTTTCTTCTATTGTTAAGTTCTATCTTGAAATCTCTCTCCTCTGTCTCATATTCAGTTGTCTGTTTTTTTCTGTTCACTGTTTTTATTTTCTGAGAATTTTTGTGTTGTGAAGTTAAATTGGAGATGTGTTCATTTATATTTTCAAAGTTATTTTTAATTTCTTTATAGTTTGAGATCACTGTTGTTTGGATTAGTTGCAACATAGCATAGATATCCTTCTGGAAAGTATTTGTTTTTTCTTGGTATATTCTTTCTGAAGATCTCTGGTTTTCCATGTTAGCTAAAAATCAGGGTGTTCCTTTATCTGCAAACAGCTTTAGAGTCACAATTGAATTGGTATTTTTAATCCAGAAAGATAAATTTTTTTTTAGAGTTTATAATTCTCACTTTGTAGATAGCCCAGAGTGTTTTCTTTCTTTTTTGTCTCAGCTGTTCTCTGTTATTAAGACATTGAAGGTCACCAAAACCAAGTTATCTTTTCTGGGCTTTGCTGGTCCCTGTAATAAAGCAACTGCTGTTGTATATTTTCATCCACCACTAGATGTCAGCACCAGTCAGTAATAGACAATTGTTTACTTCTATTTTCATAATTTAAAAAGAAAATCTTAACAGATTCCACCAATTTCAAATTTATCCAAATTAAGTCTTACATTCATTTCATTTCAATATATTTCTGTTTCCCCTGAAAAGTTTAATTCACTGCTTCCATCTGTAGGAGAGTGGGGCACAAATCCCCCCCTTCTCACTTTTGGAGGCTTTTTACTCCTTGGGGTTTTTCTTTTTCTTTTTTCCAGGAAATCCATTTTCAAATAGAAGAGAGAAAATCACTGTTCTTACCCATTTCCAAACACATTGTTTACAGTCAGCTTAAAGTAGTGCTGTTGGGCTTCGGCTGCTTGTAGCTTGGGCTAGACTCTGAAGTTAAGCTGGTCTTTTTCTTGCTGGTTTTTGGAGGGCTTTTCCTGAACCAATTGGATCGACCACCATCTCTCCACAATTGGCGGGATTTCCTTCCTTCTTTGTTGCCTCTATGGGGCAACTTCAGGCCCATTTAGGGAACCCTAGAAGACAGAAATTGGCTGTAGGATGCAGAGCCCCGCAATCCCTCGGCTGCACAAAACCGGAACAGGAAAGCCATATTTATTGCTGGTTGTGCTGGTCACACTTGGGAGTTTGGAGAGTGAGGAATGGGCGGCAGGATAAGCTGGAAGACAACCCACATTTACTAGCCTGCCTGTGTCAGCTGCATTTGCCATGTTTGCCTTGCCTATAGGCCTGGCTCAGACCATGTTCTTATGCTTGTGAAGCAGCCTTCTGTGAACTGTGCTCTCTTGCTGCTGGCATTTTTCCCCTGTGGACCTCTGGTCCTGATGGCTGTTCTCTAGAAAGAATGAAGAGAAGAGAAACAACAATGATTGTTTGATACATATTCACACATGTATATGGGAAAGGAAGGAGTTGAAAAGAATGATTGATCTGACTCGTTATGAAAAACACCTGAAAGAATGAGTTAAGGATACAAAATATACTGAATGTGTGATGGACCATCTCTGGTGTATTAAATTTGTGTCTTGGGAAAAATGAACAGGAGAGGAAAGGATTGGGATTAGGATAAAAAAAGAAAAAATATTAGAAGATAGATTCCCAACAGAAAGAGGAAATGTATGTAAAGAAGGAAGGTTTGAGACTTGCTTGGAATAGAGTGGAATGTTTTATGTCATAGAATAACATGTGTATTCTACAGAATTGAGATATAGATAAAAAAGATTCTTTTTGAAGGTTGTCTGAAGTTGTCTGAAGGTTGAATCATTGCAACTGGACTATTTTTTTGTTGTTAGTTTGAGAGGGGTTTCA